GTTATTTGTGCAAGCTGGGCAACACAATGGTTTCTACCAAAGCTGACTGATCTCCCAAGACCGTGAACAGAAAGTGCTGCTATAGAATGCATGCAGTTGATGAGACATTTGAAAAATTTCGAAGGGACAAGTTCCGTACTGATCGGCGCTAGTCAAATCAGGCGACCATTCACTTCCACTGCATCTCTCAGTACAAAACTGTTGAGTGCTGTCAGACCGAACAGGGCAGCACTAGAAGCGAATGGGCATCCGATCTGATCAGTGCTAAACAGCGCAGGGTATTCCAGCAAAATGTTCCCAGTAAATCAGTCCGGTGCAGCGCTCCAGACCATATCCCAGCACCAGCAATCCGCTGCTTCTGCATTAGCACAACTCCAACACTTCAAAGTTCTGAGCACTGTCGGTGAATTCAAAGCCCAAAGGGAAAAAGTTCTCCCTCATTTTCAACTAACAAGACTCGAATTTGGCGTAGCAATGGGTGAAGAAGGGTAAAGTACAAACCGGTGTGCAATTTGGCGCAGCAGCTCAGGCTACCTGTGGACTGCAGCGGCGCAAAGCAGCTGCTGCCGCTGCTGCCATTCTCTGCATGGAGCTGCGGATGGTTGTCGCTCATGCCGCCAACGCCGCCAAAATCATCTTCCTTCCTGAAATTCCTGGTAAAAATTGAAACTGAATTTACTTGTGTCTACTTTCAGCTGCCAACGAAGCAACTGCCCCGGGATGATGTCGCAGAGAAACCAGTTATCCCACGATCTGTTAATTCGCCTCAACGACGGCACGCAACAGAGCAACAGCACTCGTTCTCCGAGCTGCACTCACTGCGATTCGCAAGTAACCCCCTCGGAAGTGCGGCAGAGATCGCGGCACCTCGAACGCCAACACCGCCATCAACTGAAACGCCGCTACCCCTGCAGGATGAACGAAAGGCGGCAGCACGATTCGGCCTGCCAGCCAAACAGCCCAGCGAATCCCAAGAAAACGACGAGCGCGGTGCGGCCAGGAGAAGAGAGCGACAAGGAAACACGCGGTTCAAGTAGCTGAATAAAACACCGCCAAAAACAGCTAATAAAGGCAATTGAAAGGCTGAAAGGCCGACTCGCTAAACGTACCTGAAAGACAG